CAAGTACCATCAATCGAAGACGATGATGAGACAACCAACAAAGGCTCTTCATGTCAGCAGGAAGTTATGAAGGACGAGAGCGCAGCACTTTCTTCCAATGACATCAACCCAGGTGTGCCTGATCAGGATTCAAACTCTTTTTATTTACGGAGTGTATCCATGGCGGCAAAGAATCGGGTGCACAGTCTCGTTCTCGATCTGGTAAATACAACCTCATCACAGTTGGATACCTCCAGCCATCTGAATCAACCCGAGCTAACTACGAGTGAGTCTGTGAAGGCTGGTCCAGGTCCAGTGAACGATGATTCTTCCGGTTACTCGAAGGTTTTAATGGTATCATTAAAGGGAAAAGATTCATCGGAGTCAACTGCGGTGTCTTCAGGTAACTCAAAAGTATCTTAAGGAAGTCATGTGGAGGCTTTCAGTGACAACTCTATCCTTTGCGGGATAGTCTGATTATTCCGAAAAGTACGAGACGAACATCTTGTCAAAACTAAAGAAATCTCAATCGAAGGAAATTAGTGTCATCGTTTGCTTTTCACCTTTCCTCGGTGTACGGTGCCAGAGTGAGTCTTTCTTTGCATATAATACCAAGACATGACGCAATCAGTGTCGCACTTTACTTTGAGTATGACACCTGTTGAATTTTTCCTGTGAAGCAAATGGTGACTTCTCGATTCCAGCAGCGCGCCTCGTATTGGAATCAATAATTAAGAACGTGGATACCAATCTATATATCATCAGAGAATTCAGTAAAACCACTGAAATATATTAGTGGGTTTCGTTAAAAAAACGATATTAGAGTGTATCAAAACAAAAAGTTTGAAAACATACAGAACAGATAAGATGAAAGAACTGACTTCATGGGACGCGCGACTACCGCATGCGCTTTGAACTTTATAAATATAAAGACAAATTGTCATCATCTGTTAGGCTATCATGTTGGCGTGTGCAAGTTTGTCAGTTTTGGACGAGATGGATTTTTTTGGATATTATTTTCGTTAAGAGTTTTAGTGTTAAGCACGTTTCCGTTTGGTAGTGTTTTACTCCCTGTTTCCCAGAAGGTTTTCTGTAACTTTTTTCTAACAATAACTTAAACCAGACAAAAGACTTACGAAGGGCAAACCCTTGAATTCACAATCTAGAAAAGAAATCTTCACCCCAGGTAAATGCATCGAAAGCATCTCAGGGATTGGCTGATGTTGACATGAAGAGCTACAACACAACTGGGGACTCTTTGGCAAACTCTCAAGTACCATCAATCGAAGACGATGATGAGACAACCAACAAAGGCTCTTCATGTCAGGAGGAAGTTATGAGGGACGAGAGTGTAGCACATCCTACTAATGAGATCAACGTAGTTGTGCCTCAGGGATCAGCTGATGTTGATATGGATAACTACGACACAGCTGGGGACTCTTTGGCAAACTCCCAAGTACCATCAATCGAAGACGATGATGAGACAACCAACAAAGGCTCTNAACCTCATCGCAGTTGGATACCTCCAGCCACCTGAATCAACCCGAGCTAACTACGAGTGAGTCTGTGGAGGCTTGTCCAGGTCCAGTGAACGAAGATTCTTCCGGTTACTCGAAGGTTTTAATGCTATCATTAAAGGGAAAGGATTCATCGGAGTCAACGGCGGTGTCTTCAGGTAACTCAAAAGTATCTTTAGGAATTCATGTGGAGCCTTGCAGTGACAACTCTATCCTTTGCAATTGCGGGACAGTGTGATATTCCGAAAATTACGAGACCAAGATCTTGTCAAAACTAAAGAAATCTCAATAGAAGGAAAATCAGTATTATCATTTGTTTTTTTCACCTTTCCTCGGTGTACGGTACCAGAGGGAGTCTTTCTTTGTATAAAGTTATCTCAAGATACAATAGCGTGATAACAAACCCATATTCAGCCTTTGTTCAATATCTTTTACATTAGATACCATGAAACATCGATTTTCCAACCTCAAATTTTCAAAAAGGAATGGGTTAAAACTTAAAGCTGTGAAGAGATAATGAAAGTAGATAGCCTTGTTTTTCGATCTGTTGAATACAGGTGCATCCAAAGAGTGCGCTTCTCCCGTATGGGAGATAAATGAGGTAGGATACCCTCCCTCGCTCACTGCGCAGAGTTCTTTTAATCATTCCCGGAGTGCCCCAGCGATATCTGGAGGATCCATAGATATTGATCTAGAAACAACCTGTGATACAGAAGCAACCGGCGAACCTTCCGCACCATCCTCAGGTGGATCGATGAAAATTGATTTGGATACCGCCGATAAGTCATTCTTCAGCTACAAGGCAGGGGCGTCCCTCAAAAGGGAGAGTTATGTCTTCGGTATACCAGCAACATCCTCAGATGTTGATGTAAATCAAGTCATAACGAAATCCTCCAGGATTGTTGACTTTTTGATCGGTGAATCGCCATCCCTAAATGATGCCAAAGAACAGGGGCCAACTTGGGACTCTCTCGGTGACTCAAGAGTGTCGTCGATAGTTAATGAGGTGGAAGCCAGTAAGAATTCCATTTTATGTGAAATGGTAAATGAGAGTCCATCCATTGATCAGCAGAGTGATGATAAGTGTTACGTCGATCCACTTCGAAAGTCACCAGGATTACAAAAAATTGATTTGGAGAGCTCTGGTATCATCTCCTTTTGCTGCGATGGAGAAAAATCCGTTGAAAGCAAAATCAGTCCATCTTACTCGAAATCGTCCTGCCTTGTTGCAAAGATTTCAACTGGATCGGAAAATTCCAAATTGGTGTCCAAAGGTGAGTGTAACATCAGTACCTAGAGATGTCAGTGGACTTTAGATTTTTATTTTCAAAAAGCATATTGTTCGTCAGCATTTTAAGTTTTCTTGATAACCGGAGCAAACAAAAATCACCTTTTCACTCGGTGGGAAGTGACACTACTCACAGAATTCTTATAAACCATTGGCAAACTCAAGATGTATCTTACTAGAAGCATTAGATATAAAAATTCCATGAATATGTCTTAACTTTCTTTGAGTTAATCTTAGGTTTGTTTCAGATTTTGAAATACAAGTATCAAGCAGAGGTAGTTGACTTCCTTTCCTTCTTTGTTAACTTTTAGG